CTAGGGCATTTCATTTCACCGGTCATAGGTGTGTAGAGAAGTTGATGACCGGGTTTAGGATAGATGGCCGTACTATCAAGAGGGGCAAACTTGTTTGCATATCGGTCATCTAGTGCCACTCGAGTGATCTAACTTTGCATCGTCGCTAGGATCGAGTGGCGTGGCAAGTTGAGTGGCTAACATCCTTTGGGAAATGATTGTGAAAATGCTAAGACACATACATATGGTGGTGTACACTTGGTGGTGTTGGCACATTTACAAAGGAGGTGGTGTTTGCAGGGGTGAGATGGGCGGGATTCGGCGCTTTCGGAAAAATAGAATGCCTATTTTCTATTGCGCCGGATGCAAGTTCTTGTGGTTAGCACATTGGAGCAAGGGTGATGAAGTTAGAAGTGAAAACGAGTTAGTCGCGAAGATCTTTGGCGTCGGTCAAATCCTGACCGGATATTTGGATCTCAATGCACCGGACGCCGGTAGGCTACGTCCGGTCAGCCGACGATCTGATGACGCAGAGCTGGAGTGTGACCGGACGGCTGCGTCCGATCAAGTGTGACCGGACGCGTCCGGTCGAGGTCGGTACCTTACTGGAAACGACCGGACGCTGGGGTTCAGCGTCCGGTCGGTTGAAAGCTGCTGCGTCCGGTCAAGTCAAGTGACCGTTGGAACCGGGACACGTGGCCGTCTGCGGGCGACCGGACGCTGAGGTCCAGCGTCCGGTCAACACGACCGGAGCGTCCGGTCGGCCCGACCGCTGCCTGTGATGAAGGGGTAACGGCTAGTTTAGCCCCTTGGGGCTATAAATAGAAGTGGCCCTCGGCCATGGCTGGTGTTGAGCACCTCAAGGGACTTAGTGTCCATGCTTGTGAGTGCTTAGGAGCCCTCCATCACACATATACTTGATAGTGATCATCCGATTGTGTGAGTGAGCGATTCTAGTGCGATTGCATCGTGAGGTTGCATCGAGTGGCACTAGGTGATCGAGTTGCGAGCCGGTGGTGCTTGTTACTCTTGGAGGTTGCCACCTCCTAGACGGCTTAGTGGTGGTCTCCGTCAGGCGCAAGAAGCTTGTAAAGCGGCGCTCCGGAGAAGTGCTTGTGAGGGGCATTGTGCTGCGCCGCATGAGCCGCCATGAAGAGCAACTCTAGTAAAGCGTGTCATTGAGCTACCCTCACTCAAGGGGTTGGTTCTTGCGGCGCCCGACGTGCGGGCTTAGCGGGTGATGCTAATTAGCCGCCGAACCACCAAGTGAGCGGTCAACACAACGGGGACTAGCGTGTTGGCAAACACGTGAACCTCGGGAGAAAAATCATCGTGTCAACCTTGTTCTTCCCGTTGGTTTGCATCCCCATTACACAAGCTTGCAATTACTTTTATATATCTTAAGCTTGTGTAGTTGCTCTTGTAATTAGTTAGCTTGTGTAGCTTACTAGTTACCTTCTTGCTTGTGTAGTATAGAAGTAGCTCCCTTGCGTGGCTAATTTGGCTTTAGTAACCTTGTTAGTCACATTGCTTAGTTTGTGTAGCTAAGTATTTACGCTCTCTAATTAGGCATTGGTTGCCTTGTTATTAAGCATTGCTAGTGAGCTTAGTTAGCTTTGTGCTTTTGCTTACTAGCATGTGTAGGAGCTCCCTTGTTACTTAAAGTACTAGTGGCATAGGTTTGTGTGACCTTGCTCCTAGAATTGTTTAGGAGAGCTCTAGTTAGCCCGGCACTTTAGTTGCTTTATTAGTATCTTTGCAAGGTGCTAGTGAACATATATAGAGGGGTGTAGTCTTGGCTAGACCGATTGTTTTAATTCCGCATTTATATCGGTTAGCCGACGCGATTAATTTTAGAAAAGACTATTCACCCCTCCTCTAGTCCGCCATCTCGACCCTTCAATTGGTATCAGAGCCCGGTCTCTCATTTGTGGTCTTCACCGACCCGAGAGGATGGCGAACTTTGGGCTAGAGGTTGTTTGTGACACACACATTTTTAATGGCACACAATATGCACGGTGGAAACGTCATATGCTTGATCATTTCCGTGAATTGGGTCCCAAGACATGGTGGATCATTGTTGTTGGTTTTTCTCGCAATGCTTTGGATATGGACAACCTAACCCAAGCACAAGAGGATTGCTTACAACTTGATCATCGTGCTCTTGATTATCTAATTTGTGCTTTACATGATGATGTTTTTAGACGTGTGTGGGACTTGGAGAATGCACATGATATGTGGCTAGCACTCCAAGCCTTCTACGGTGATTCCTCCACATGGGATGATGGCAAATTCAAGAAGGAGGATGAGCCCAAGAAGGAGACACATGAGTGTGTTGAGCATAACCACAATTTGGTGATTGTGGAAGATTGCTCCACCTCATTGTCAAGTGAGCTTAGTTAGCTTTGTGCTTTTGCTTACTAGCATGTGTAGGAGCTCCCTTGTTACTTAAAGTACTAGTGGCATAGGTTTGTGTGACCTTGCTCCTAGAATTGTTTAGGAGAGCTCTAGCTAGCCCGGCATCTTAGTTGCTTTATTAGTATCTTTGCAAGGTGCTATAGAACATATATTGAGGGGTGTAGTCTTGGCTAGACCGATAGTTGTATTTCCGCATTTGTTTCGGTTAACCGACGCGATTAATTTTACAAAAGACTATTCACCCCCCCTCTAGTCCGCCATCTCGACCCTACAGCCGCAGAGCCCAAAAGGTATTGCAGGCGCGTACTCCTCGCCCTGTAGAGTTGTAGGCGCCGCCTTCAGCTCTAGGACACGGAACCCGATGAAGATACACGACAACCACTACACTCCATAAAAGAATTTGTGATCTTCACGAATGACGGACATGCCATCACCACATTATGGACCCAAGGGAGCGGCGCCCGCTTCCCGACCCCTCAAGTCCACCAAATCAAAGGACCTTGCCCACAGCGCTACTCCGGACCTCGACTCCGCGTCCCTCCGACAGAGACTCATAGGAGCCAGAAGGCGTGCGGAGCAAGGCTGGGCGAGGTCCATAAGTTAAAACCACTGTACTCCAGCCCATACCCTGCGTAGGGCACTATTCTATAACCATCCCGACATTCTCTGTGAATATCGGCAAGATTGTAGGCTACGATCATCCTTTCGCACCCATCGAATGGGTAACAAGGTTTGGGTAGAAGTAAGCCACAAGGCTAGGTAGAGCATAGATCCTAAGCCACGACCCTTGTAAAGCCGCCCCTTCATCTATAAAGGGATGCGCTTCCTCCAAAGGCGATGGGGACGAAAACAACGCAACACACAGATATAGTCAAGCTGCTACCAAGCTCTTGGCTTCCTTTCGACCCTTCCATCAGAGACTTGGGACCTGTCCCTCTCTCGATCGTTTGTATCCCCTACTACGAACCATTCACGGTGCTAATAACACGAGCAGCAACAAACTTGACGTAGGGATATTCAGCCCGAACCAGTATAAATCTTGTGTTCTTTAGCGCACCATCCGAGCCTAACGCGCATTACTATAAATTTACTTGCCGGTGCTTGTACAAAACACCGACAACCTCTGAAACATTACAGTCATTGGATGACACGGGTTTGAAATCTTCTTGTGGTAATCTTGGGGCTGTCCTTACAAAAGACGGAAAATCTGATGTTGATGCCAATGAATTGTATGTGGAGTTGAAGTTTCTTTAAGATTTTATTCCTGAAGAAAACATGGGTCCTGTTGAAATTCTAAAGTTCCTAAAGCGGTATGACTGTTTTCCCAATGCAAGTATTGCATATAGAGTTCTGTTGACCATTCCTATGATCGTTGCATCGGCAGAGCGAAGCTTTTCTAAATTGAAACTATTGAAGTCATATTTGCGTTCGACAATGACACCACAAAGACTTAATGATTTAGCTACAATAGCACTTGAGAGTGGATTGCTGGAGAAGATTGATTATGAGCATATCATTGAAGATTTCATTTCAAGGAACACTAAAAGAATGAAGTACTTCAATTAAAGATTATGAAAGCAAAAGTCGAATAGGTACGGTTTTTGATATATCTTAGTGTGATATGTATCATATATCTTATTTACAGTCATATTTCTTAGGGAGGTAGGCCTCATTTTAGAGTTTGGTACAGGGCCTCGATTTTTGCCGGCTCGGCCCTGATAACCAATGATGAAATCTGTCATGATAACATAGTGACGTCGGCTTTTCCCAGGCACACAGAGTCCAAAACATCAAAAGACGTTTCTTCTGAACCTAGCACTGATGGATATGCTACTCTTACCAAATCTGCTGCCCCAATTGGTCATAACTTGGTCCGACAAGGGTCTCGAGCAATCGACAATACTGAAATTGGTCAAGATTTTAACTTCAGTAGCATCCGAAGGAAGGAACACACATCCAAGAAAGGTGAAGGCACCACTGCTGATGTTACTGTCACTAAAGATATTAACCTAGTTCATCCAAGGCAAGTGATGGATTCTAATAAAGGAAAAGATGATTTTGCTGATAACGCTGCAGCTAGCATCTATTCATCAGATATAATAAGTCAGAAACACATTAAAGGCCAGACTGCAACTTCTGCAAATGGAAGCACAAATGCAACTCCAATGCCAAAAAATCCATCAGACAAAGGAGGACCCGAGAAATCTGCTGGTGTCACTGGTAGCAGTTTCATCCAAGAAGCATCTCATACAGTCTTTGTCACTGAACCCACTCGATATCTGGCTTCAAGTTTAATACACAGCAAACAACAGATGTGGGAAAAAGAGGGAGAAGTTTCTGATGCTCTTGACCCTACTCATGCTGTTGACAACAATGGAAATCAGATGGAGGATGGCAATATCAGTTCGTCAGTCAAGCTAACTCATGAGGAATCCAAAGCAATCGGTGCTAGTACAACGAACTGTGATTCAGGGCCTTGCAGATTGCTTGCCGGTTTAGCCTGCAGCAACCAACAGACAACAGCGGAGCCTACGTCTCATCCCATTGATATCACGGAAGCAGCCATGAGAAAGGCAGAAGCCACCACGGTAAGGAAACACTCAATGAATGAGGCGGTGAACCATGACCGTACCCACAAGGACGCGCCATGCTCCATCGACGCCAAGGCCGACGATTCTCAACAGGCGGCAAAGGTGTACTCCGCAGTGTGGGTCGACACCGACACGGACACCCTGCGCGCTCGGCTCGTCGACTCAATGCGGCACTTGCGCAGGATGGCATCTCGGCGGCGCCATCGGCAGAGGAAGCGCGGGTCGAATAACAAGTGGAGTATCGGGCCAGCGCTGGTGGTCATCCTCCTGCTTGTCTCCGTGGTGCAGCTGCTGTTCATACTCTGGCTGTACTGGAGGCTCCTGAACCAAAACTAGACAAAATGTATGCTACCACTCTCTTGGAGTCCTTGAAGTTTTGCTTCTCCATTATCTTAAGATAAGTGTATGATTTAGTAATAAGTACCTTGTAGGAATCGCGTGGAGGTGATTCAGCCGACACTCCGACAGGTTTGGGAGCAGGGGCGAAGCCATGTTGTGTTACTGTGGTGCACTGGCACCAGGGTGCACCAAAAAATTGTTAGTAAATTGACTAACACTCACCATGTACTATGAAAAGAATTCATTTGTCGCTTCAGTGGGGCACCACCATAACATTGATGATAGCTTCGCCCCTGTTTGGGAGGCCAAGACCGCAGTGTGGCCGTGTGGCTAAAAAACGTGGCGGGAGAGCCTTGAAATTTAAAGGATCTTGGCGGCAAAATATTTCGGTAGCGGAGTGCCCAAGTGGGAGAGGAAAAGACGAGCCAAAGCCCAAAAGCGTGTGTGCCTGTATGGGGGAACCAGAAGGAAACGAAGGAAATAGGATGAAGCGGCAGCAGCACCGGAAGAATTACCCGAGCGGGATCCGGTCGGCCGATGGGCAGACCACGCTCAAATCCTTTCTCTTCAAGCCCAGGTATACCATCGTCTGATTCGCATCCATCCCAATTTCCCCCCCTTCGGTGCCAGTTCTTCAATCTGTGTCCCTTGCGTTCCCCTTTTCGTGCTTCAGGGTTGTCGATGTGGTACCGCCGCCGCCGCCGCTGGAGGGGGTGATAGAGGCGCCGATCTGTCCGCCAGAGCCGCCGAAGCGGGAGATTGTCAGAGTTACCAAGGCGATCATTAAGGAGAAACCGAGCGCGTTCTCCTCGGTGGGCTCCGCGGGGAAGGACGGGGGCGGCGGCGTTGGCGGCGCTTTGAGCGCCGCGGTCTTCAAGCGGTTCCACAGTTCAGCCCCAGGGGCGAGAGCGCAAGCCGGCCACGTGGAGGCAGGGGAAGACGGCGACCTCGACTTCGGCGGTCCAGGCGAGGCCCGGCTGGACGTCCAGGAGACCGGAGCGGAGAGCCGCCGCGAACCCAGGAGTAAGCGGAAGAGCCCCCTTGGTGCGCGTCCAGCCATGCTCGTCTTGCATTTCGCTCAGAATGTCAGTCTTTCACTCGATGATGACAATATCGGTCTATCCAGGCGGCGACGAGCACGGGAGCGACGCCAAGGCCAGACGCGTGGTGGTGCTCGGCGACGACCCGAGGCCGCGGCCGGCGAGCTGGCGGGGGCGCGCGAGGCCCACCCGCGGCGGTGAGGGCGGCCGCGCTCTGTACAACCACTGTAAGATCGATTCCTTCTCCCGAACTCTTAACGGCCGGTGGATCGGTGAGCAAACAGCAACCTGACGCGGTGGTTTGTTTTGGTGGCAGACGCGAGCGGGGGCGGGTGGTGGCACGGCGACAGGGAGGGCGTGGACGGGGAAGAGGTCGGCTGGACGGACGACATGTGGGAGGGGGATGGGATCCGTCACGCTCGGCGGCTTGGAGTGGCACTAGCCGCCGCGGCCTAGGACTGCAGAGCAGGACCGGCCCGTTACCACCACGGCAACCGGCAGAGTATTACTAGAATTAATGAATTAGGCAGCGATGAAGTCGTGGCATGCTATAATTTTGTGAGAAGGCATTTAACCTGCAGAGTGAAAGTCTGAAAGACGTATAAAGTGGGAACAATTAGGCTATGTTTAGTTTGCGAAATGGAAATTTTTGGATGTCACATCGAATATTTCAGGGATGTCGGAAGAGGTTTTTGGATATTAATAAAAAAAACTAATTACATAGAGACAAATTTATTAAACCTAATTAATCAATCATTAGCGCATGTTAGCTACTGTAGCACTTATGGCTAATCATGGACTAATTAGTCCTAAAACATTCGTTTCACGATTTCCAACCAAACTGTGCAATTAGTTTTTTTTCGTTTATATTTAATATTCCATGCATGTGCTACAAAATTCGATGTGATGGTTTAGTGTGAAATTTTTTTGAACTAAACCAGGCCTTATACAAGTCTGTCGATAACTGCAGACAGCTGTGTTTCTTATCATGCCATTCTCTGAATCATTCTAAGTTTGCAATTGTTCTCCTTATTCAGACTCAGACATACTATTCTGAAATAGTTTTAGCATGCCAAGGTATAGTTTAATTATTTTGTTGGTTTAGGAATTGCACCACCTATGGGCTGATTTCGATGATGCACTAGCAAACTCTCCCAACTCCTCTCCCTTTGTTTTTAAATGCCGACTTTCTAAGGCTGGTATTCGAGCTACACAAAATTTTAGTATTTGAGTTTAGTAGAAATATAGCAGATGGAAAAATGTAAAAGCCATTCTATTTCATGCATCCAGATTTTGTGTAGCTCAAATATCATTCCTCTCTATTGTTGTTCCTATTGCACAGCCTTGTGCAGTGTTATAGAGCGCGTTCGGCTGGCTGGCCGGCTGGGGCTGGGCTGGCCAGCGCTCTCACAGTGACACTGTTCATATGAACAGTGTTTTCAGAAAGAACAGCATTTCTCCCTCACAACAACCAGTCGGAACAGTATTTTAGTTTATTTTTCAGCCCTGCCGAACAGACTCATAATTAGTGCTGAATGTTCACGAATGGAAACAGCAAAGCTAACTGCAATCGCCAAGAGAATTAATATCTAACTTATCTAACTTGCTATTACTATTTTTAGTTAAAACTCTAGAAAACGGGCCTGTAACAGACTAGCCAATGCAATTGCTATCCTATTTGACATGCTATCCCGCAAGCCTCGGCGACTAAATTTGGCTAGCTGGCATACCTTGCTATCTTGGTGTATGTGAGGCTGACAGCTAGTGCCATGTTGCATTGCTCCAAATTCCATTCCTTTCTCTTAAAGATATAACTAGTCTGTTGGAATATATTGGATTATCGAGAAAGAATTTTTATGAAGTCAATAGCTAAATGAAGATATGGAACATGAAATTTAGAATGTCTCTTAGAGATGTTCTAGGCCGGGTCAGCTATAGATGGCCAAATGGGCCAAGCACCGGCCCGGGCATGGCCTGAAAAAACACGACACTAGCACGGCCCAGGCACGGAGCCCATAGTGCCCGTGCCAGCACGGGCACGATCTAGTGCCATGCCTGGGCCGCAGGTCCAGCCCGCAGTGCCGGCACGGGCACGACACAATTAATGGGCCGGCACGATGCTGGCCCGATTGTTGTCAACCGTTGGATATGTTGTATGCTTTTATAAGCGTTGGATTTAGACAAACCCTAGATATAAAAGAAACCTCTTGACTCCTCAGTCCCCAGGCCGCCGCTCGCACCCCAGTCCGTAGGCCACCACTCGCGGCTACTGTAACAGAACCGACCAATTATACGAAATTAAGTAAGAAAATCATCCGCCAGAGCAGACGATTTAACAAACTTAAGCCCGTATAACCCGGTAGTTCGTGAAATCACGAAGGATTTCAAACCAACTTCCATTCCAGCCAAGATCGTAATAAGTTTAGCGGTCACCATCACATATTACATAAAAGTTTGCATCTCAGATACATCAGAGTTTAAACATAGTTATTACAAAACAAGTTCGAATAAAAGTAGCGGAAGCCATTTGTTCAAACCACACACACTCACACGGAGTTCAAATATAGTGCCAGCGAATGATCATCTCCAACAAAAGCATTAGACGAGACGTAAGGAATGACTATGCCCATGGTCCTAAGCATCACCCATTGTAGGATAAAGGCAGTTGATACAGTAGCCGTAATACATCTACCCATCTGCAACAAGTGGGAATAAAACCCTGAGTACGAGAAGGTACTCAGCTAGACTTACCCGACATAACCGAAAATAAAGTGACACCAAGGATTATGAAGGGCTTTATAATAGGGTAGCTGACTCATTTGCAAAAGAAGCATTTTTAGCACTTCAAGAACCTTCCTAAAAGCATTATTGTCAATTTAATTATTATTAACCTGTCGACTCGATTTGCACCTATACTAGAGCAAACATGATTAAGCAGATAATGATAACCAATGATCATTAACGACTTCCATAATGTCATATTCATTATAACTGTCCAAGTGTTCCATAAACATTTACTACGATGAAGTAACTCAAGTCAAGTGCTCACTATCCAGGAGCGATGGCGATTCGAATCGATTCCTAACCAGCTGGTGATTTATTCCTTACACAAACCTCACTCACCCGCTAAAGTGAGATATTGATCACCGAGTCAACTATCCAGGTATCTCGAGTTTGCCAGGAACCACATGTACCCGGGGGCCGACCGACTGCACTTTGGTCTTATCATCCCGCCCCTGTGTCCTACCACACCTGCTCCGGCATAGTGCGCTGCGGGCAATCTACTCGGCCCGAATAATCTCCCAGCTTCGCGGTCGAAAGGTACTTTATCCGGCCAGCTAAATGTAAGGCATGCGTTCAACATGACTCGAGGCCCAACAACGGTCGGTCCTGAATCGACACAGACGGAAACACTACAGTCCAAAACTCTACAAGTCTCCGTCCGGTCTCAACTTCATTTAACACTTAGTTATACCATGACTCCATAGTCATCCAAGCAGATCCAGGTAACCACCTATAGCTCGCAGGTGACAGGAAATCACCCGTCTTCTATCGGTCTAAGCCAGCTAAGCATTGACTCGACTGTGGATACCCGGGTAACAAGGATATAGTATAACAAAGGTAGACAAGGTATAATGCAGCAACGGTTGCAAACAACTCCTGAACGTAATGCATCAATTAAAGTAAAGCATTTAATTAAATAATTGCAAACCGGGAGAAAAATGCTCCGGGGCTTGCCTCTCTCGAAGGAGCTCGGACGGTGATCGGGACACTCCAAAAGTTCCTCAATGTCCTCCTCGTCGGCTTCGGGCACTTCCTGTGGCTGCACCTTGAACTGCTCCTCGGGCTCCTCGGGTATGACGACTGGGTTCTCGGTTTGCGATCCTATATGATGCAATGTGCGTAAGTGCTTATGTAATCGGTGCATCGAATGAGATGAATACAATGGATATGTTTAAATGCAAGGTAGTCAACATCATCCAAGAACATATACTACGAGCACACGTCATCTACTGCATTCTCTTCTACTACTAATATGTTAAGTCAACACATCTTATTGAATGCTTCAAAGATACACCAAAGCTTCACTAATTTCTTAATCACACTTAAAGCAACACTTGCTTAAACCCTAATTAATAATAGGTTTGAATAGCAACATCTATTTTTATTGCTTAGAAAAATCTTAGAAAATTACTACAGCATAGTACTACCCTAAGTAGTCTACTATCAGATTTTTATGGTATTTGAATGAGTGGATTAGCCTACACAAAAATAACAAGCTATGGCATGATTATGAACATAAAAATACTTTGAACTGTGAAAAGTGTCAAACAGCAGGGTTAGTATTTTTCCTAGGTTCTTCATAGCATACAATGACTATACAAAAATTATCACATGCATGTTTTATACAAAGTTTGCTCTCTAGCTAAAATAACAAAAATCAGCCATTAAAGGTACTTGAACTACACCTCAAGATTTTCCCACAGCACATGCATGAAACATATTTTTCCTAGAAAGTACATTACATAAGAAGATTAACAAACTTAGAATCATATTTTTTTGAAGCCTATCGATTTTTCTACACATTTTTCAAGTTATCGGCCAATATACATGATTAAATAAAGTTCTCTGAGAAAAGTATCTCAAAAATGACATGCAATAATTTTCCCAAGTAGATCTGATGATAAGGAACCTAGACAAATTTATTTCAACAGATTTGGAGCAACTTTGAGTATCCAAACATTTTTCAAACCATTTCTATTTTCAAATAATAAAGAATAATTAAAACAAATCATCCTATTACATTGGGCCACCTCATTGAATCAGCTGGCCCACAACCACATTTTCTCTGGCCCCGAGCGAATGGGAAGGGGGAGACGGTCCGGCGTGGCGCCGGCCCGACACCTTTCTTCAACCGGTGCTTCTAGGAGGAAGAGGTCACGCGTGGCTACATGACGTCATGTTGCGACGACTTCCACCGAGGCCAGCCATGGCCATTGCCGGCCGTGACAGAGCGAAGAAGCGAAGCATGAGGTTCGCGAGAAGATGGCGAAGGCGGGAAGGTAGCTAAGCGAGGTTGGAGAAGAGGAGGAGGTGCCTTCCATGGCGGCCGAAAGCACAATGGCGCCATGGTCGACGGTGGTGGGGCTCGAGGCGGCGCTACTGGGCTCAAGAAGCGGGCAGTGAAAGTGAGCACGACGTGTCAAGAGCGAGGCGGAGCTGCTGGGCACGAATCTTGGCCGAGGTGGAGGAGGCGCTTGTGGATTTTGCGGGTGGCGCGGTGGCAGGCGCGAGAGCAGAGTGAGTGCGCTTTGCGGCGGCGTGAGAGGAAAGGCAGCGAGGAGTGAGCGAGCGGAGCGACCGCTTAAGGAGAGAGTAGAAGGTAGCGTCGACGGCGTAAAACGCGCACACGCAATGGCGAGCTTCTGCCATGATCAGGTATGTGTGGCGTCGTCAATAATGATCGGTCGGGCGAGGTGAGGTAATGCCAGCGATTGGGGCTAGGGCTGAAGTGGCGCTGGCGCGGAAGTGGCTGGCTAGGGCTTGCCTGCCAAAAAAAAAGCGAGGCTGACCCTTGAAGGAGAAAAAAGACCTTTTCCATTTATAGTTTCAAGAAAATTTTAAATGCCAGCTTTCAAATATTATTTTGAGCAAGAAAATGACATCTTTTGAAAATATATCAAAAATAAAAGTTGATTAGAATTTAATTCTCTACAACTTTGCTTTTATGACCAAAGCCAAATTCTTTCTAGATTTTGAATTGTAAAATCAAAGTCCATGTTTAACTCAAAACCCTAATTTTTGGAAAATTACTTTTGGAAGCAAAATTTTGAATTAATTTGAATACAAACCTTGCTCCAAAAATTTAACTAAATAATCCTAGATGATTTATAATAGTAGCCAAACATGTTTTACTAACCTAGCAAGCAAAATCAGGGCAAAACAATTCAAACAAAGGTATGCAACATTCAGGTTTCACAACATGTTTCATATGTTTCGAAGCAGTGTTTCAATTGTTATTTACATGATTAGGCATGTATGATTAGGATGCTTGATGATGCATGATAGGTATGATTTGCAGTGCCTAAATGTAGGCATAACACCGGGGTGTTACAGCTATCTGTTCCCCGCGGCATCTCCTCGACACCTCGCACCTCTATCCCCCCCCCGCGGCATCTCCTCGCGACCTCTCCCGAGAAGCGGTGCTGCACTGCTGCCCTCAACCCCCTCCGCCCTCCCCTTCCTCCACCCCGGCCACCCCCACCACCGTCTACCTTGCTCGGCGCCCCCTCTGCTCCCCAACTCGACAAGATCTGCAACGGTGGCCTAGGTGACGACGCCGGCGCGAGGTCTGCGACGTGGCGTGGCGACGTCGTGGGCGCTAAGCTACATGGTGCGGCGGTATAGCGGGGCGCGCGGTTGTGTGGCGCGGCGACGACATGGCAACATCATCGGGCGCGCAACTGCTTGGCGCGACGACGCGCGGCGGCGTGGCAGGCCAGGGTCGGCACAAGCACTGTGTGGGCCGTCGTGCTAGAGGCATGATACGGCACGGCACAGCCTCCATAGGGCCGTGCCTGGGCCGCAGCTTTGGCACGGCGGCACTAACAGGCACGACACGTCTAAGCCACCGTGCCCGATAGTACCGTGCCTCACCGTGCCTTGCCCAACCGCGCCCGTGTCCGTGCCGTGCCGTGCGGCCCGGTTGGCTCACATGTTAAAGCCGCACTTCTCACTTCTGTTTCATACAGTATTGTTGTATCAAGAAGAAAACGTCACATGGAAGAATTGTATAAGTTACATGTTTGGTTTCTTTGTGCAAAATATTAAAATAATATGTGCTCTAATATTAGGAACCAACAATTTAAAAAGAATAGGGCCGGAAAAGACGAGAGAATTGGAAGATCTGCGGCCCATCAGTTAAGGCGCTAGGCCCAGGGCATGTTTAGATGCTGAAAAATTTGATAAGATAATACTGTAGCAGTTTTCGTTGTTATTTAGCAATTAGTGTTCAATCATAGTCTAATTAGACTTAAAAAATTCGTCTCGTGGATTTCGTCTAAACTGTGTAATTAGTTTTATTTTTTATTTATATATAATATTTCATACATGCGTGTAAAGATTTAATGTGACAAAAAATCTTGAAAAATTTAACATTTTGGAGCGAACTAAACGGTACCCCAGACCAAAAGTTCATTTTTGTAAAGGAAAACTGCCCACTTGCTTGTTCGGTGTCCCTCCATCCAGAGGCCTCCACTGTCCGGCGTCTCTTCCACTCCCCTCGACGGGGCTAGCACAAGTGCGGGAGGCGCTAGGGTTCTTAGAAATTCCCCAAATCCTCGGCCGCTTTTGCTTCCTCGGCACCGGCCAGCTGCGCCGTCGTCGATTCCGACCATCTCCAGCGGCTGGTACGTTCCGCTTGCCTCCTCGATGCAGAATTCTCTCTCTCTCTCTCTCTCTCTCTCTCTCTCTCTCGCAAGCACATACTCTTCATTCAAATTCCCCGTCTCCGATCCGCCGGTTCGCAGATTGGTCGCGGTGGCATGGACTGCTCCAAGAGGAGCGCGGCCGCGGTGGCCAGCCTCCCTGACGACACCCTGGTGGAGATCCTCTCCCGCGTTCCGTTTAAGTCACTCTGCCGCTGCAAGTGCGTCTCTAAGGCCTGGCGCGACCTCATCACTGACCCCCTCAACCGCAAGAAGCTACCCCAGACCCTAGAAGGGTTCTTCTTCATTGTCAACAGCTGCGTCGACGACTCCGACAGTGACAGTGGAGACGATGGCGAAGACATCGGCAGTGATGGAGGCAGCGACAACTTTGACAGTGATGGAGACGGCGAAGACAGTGGCAGTGGTAGAGGTGGCAAAAACTCCGACAGTGATAACGGAGATGGTGAAGACAGCGGCAGTGATGGAGGTGGCGATGATAGCCACAGTGCCAATGGAGATGGTGAAGACAAGAGCGGTGATGATGGAGGTGGCGACGACAATGACAGTGATGATGGAGATGGTGAAGACAGCAGTAGTGATGGAGGCGACAACGACAACTTGCGACACCAAGTCTGTGTGCATTTCATCGACATGTTAGGGAGACCCCCGCGTCCTGTGGACCATTGCTTCCCGTTCCTGACTGAGCTGCCGGGGATTGTGAACATCTTTGTCTTGGATGACTGCAATGGCCTCCTCCTCTTTGGCTGTTTCCAGGGATCAGGCGAATCACTTAGCAAGAGCTATATTGTGTCCAACCCTGCGACTGAGCAATGGGTCGTTGTGCCCGACCCTGACATGAAATGGCTGTCGTTCGCCTATTTGGTTTTCGATCGGGCTGCCTCTTCCCACTTCCATTTGGTCCAGATCAGGTGGGACATGATACCAGTGCACATCTACTCGTCTAAATCTGGGGTGTGGAGTCCTGTCAGAAGTGACTGGGGTGACCTTCGCATGGCACTTGGCTTAGGCATCGCATATGCTAATGGCATGCTGTATGCGGTCTTGTATAAGGGGGATCAGATAGCTGTGATGGACGTGGAAGGCAACACAAGGAAGATCATCCCTGTGCCCTTTCAGGAGGGCGATGAGTTCCGGCCGTGTTCTGATTATGTTGGCCAGTCCCAAGGTCGTTTGCATTTGATTTACCATGCTGACCTGGGTCATTATGAAATCTCCCCAGAACAGCAGAATAATAAATTGTTCATATGGGTTCTTGAGGACTATGATACAGAAGAATGGGTCCTGAAGGACACTGTAAGCTTTTTGAAGCTGTTTGGCCAAACGATCAATGGCTTCGAAGTGGTTGCAATCCATCCAGATCAAAATTTGGTATTTCTTCAGCACTTTAACCGGGAGCTGATATCATATAACATGGACAGCAAGGAAGTGTGTCATCTCTGCACTCTTGGAACTGGCTATCGGTCCATCACTCCATATGTTCCTTACTGCAAAGAGTTGTCAACACTTGAAAATAAGCACTGAAATTGTTGCCTGTGGGCTACGTTCCAGCCGAAATCAGATTTTCCAGTTATGTCTTTTACCGGTGCTGGTTATGTAGTAGGATTGGGCGTGATGCCTTTTACTGGTGCTGGTTATGTATGTGGTCCAATTAATACAGCAACCTGTTCGTAAGCTAACTGTACACCTAGTTGTCTCTATGCTTTGTGCTTCCAGAATTATAAAACTCCTTATATATGACGCGTTCCTCTTTTTATGTGGCTTTACTAGTGGGTGATTACTGTCTGCTGTTCTTTTATTTTTTCCTTAGCCCGGTACATGTTCGTTTATACTGAACCTTTCAAGGCATTGAAAGCAACACATGGTAACAGAAGATTAAAAACGAAAGCTCTGCCACATTAACCTCAAAACTGTCTAGTGATGAAAAGTACATGACTGAGATAGCTTTTTTATATATGCTGCTTGATTGTGCCTATGATATTGCTTCGCTGTAGGCCTGTTCTGTATCGCTGCAGCTAATAGTTGTTATGGTACTTTAACAGCTACTTAGTTTTACTTGTACACGTTAGCTGTATATTAAAAAGACACGGCGCGGTTTTGCTGCGCCTTTGTTGGTGTGCCCTTGTTGGGTACGACGCCATGGACGATGGATTTTTGTTTTGCCAAGACATCTGGGTTGCAGATATTTATTTAGGACCATAGTTAGGATACAACTATCCATGGTCGATCGGAAATTGTGAAGTTGCTGAAATCTAATTAAAATTCTTATACCTTAATATATTTATTGAACAATGTCTAGGTAAAGTCACAAAATTATGGGTAGCGACATTGTAAAAAGTTAAGTAACTCTTCTTAGATACGAATATAAGATCCTATTCCTTTTGTACGAGTTCTCAAGCAAAGTGTTTGCTTATCATGTGGTAGTGGTAGCTAGCTAATGAAATCAGGTCTCAGTGAAGTTTGTGATTGCAGTTGTGAAAAATGAGTCATGTTTCTCTTGTGATGTAAAATGCATAGAAATCATCTTGCCATTAAAAACTCTGCTTCTATTGACAATATTGTTGTAAAACCCACTGATAAAAGTTCAACTGTGTATGTAGAGAAAGCCTTGCATTTGCTCTGCATAGAAAACACGAAGCAAAGAATGAAATGCTGAAACATTGTGATTCTCTCAGATGAAAACAAATCTATTGTACTAAAAGGTTGTTGAATAGACATGCCGGCTGGGTTATTACTCTTTTTGGCGATCTATAGTGTTGCTGACATAGAGAATTGTCCCGAACCAAACATTGGGTTCATAAACTGAACTCTCGTGGGCGGCTGGTTACTGGAGCTTGCTCTTAGTCCAGAGACCCAGGTTCGAGCCCTGCATCCTCTTAATTAAAAGACCGGGGGTGCGGTCTGCTACTTCCCGTCAAGTTTTTTAAACTGAACTACTAGTGTGACACCAGTTGTTACTGTTATAAACCTGAAGATAGTATTTGTACATACAGACCATGTGAACAGCTCTTTACTCATTGCAAATTATGGACTTTCAAGACTCTGTGTCGCCAGAGTGACAACAACATTCTGAATTTCATGAACTGAATGTTATTGAGAAATTGTGAAGCCCTGCAAAGGAAGAAAACTCATTAAAGTTATATTGCACATGCTAAGTTAAGCCTAAACAATTTGAATGGATTGACAAAGCCAATTTTATTTTTAATTGAACTGGCACAAAGAACTTTGCTAGAATGTGTCAAATGTCTGCTATTTTCTACAGTGAATTTTTGGATAGCATTTAGATCTCCGGCAAAGTTTGAGAAATAAACAAGGAAATTGAAGACGTAAGGACATTCATACATAACAATTAGCTAGCTTATCCTCTCCACAGTTACCAACCAACGAGGCTTGTACACAGGATAGATTTGAAGATTAGAACCTCTGATAATTTACAGAGATGCCTTGTTCTAAAAAAAATTACAGAGATGCCTGAAGTGTTATCTGTTCAGCCAGATAAGAGTAACAAATCAGAGAAGGATAATCATAGCCTGAGTCTCTCAACAGCTAACCTTGTAAGCATTAGTGATGGTGCTTCTAATAGCTCATCTTCAAGTGGGAAAAATGAGTTTTGGCTTGTCCGAATGGAGAAGCCTGGAGTTGAAGTCTTGACAAAAGCCCAAATGGTGGATCACTATACCCGAATCCTTATGAAGGTGTTCGGGAAGTACGTAATCTCATCATCAACCTAGCTACTATCAGCTGCCATCTTCTGCACCACCGCCTGCGCCTCTGGTTCCCTCTCTGCACTCCAAGATCAATATGGTGAGTGAGTGTATATTAGCTTCTTTCTCCTGTCCCCTGATTATTCTGGTAAGAAATCCAAAATCAGGTGAATGTATTAGTTTTTTTTTAATCTGTTTTATTTTGATTCTAAAAATAGGCATTGTGGTGGATTCACAGATTAGTCAAAATACTGAGTAGCTATGCTGGCATTCAGGCTGGTGTCCCTACCAAATGAGGCCTAAGAGTATGAAGAACAAACATGAACTTGTTCTTTTTTAGTTTCCCAATAAGAAGCTTCCCTGCTAAGTTGAAGTTCTCTGGGTTTCCCTGATCCCAAAGGGATGTTCCTTGAGACAAAAAATTTATATGAGTTGTTGTCACCTTTTGGTAGTACAGTACAACTTAGGTTATCAACACAGTATTTTCTTGTCAGCTGTTCTCATTAGCTTTCTTTCCTCCCTTTGCAGTTAAGATCGCCAGATCTGTTTCAGCCTGTTCGCTCGGTCGTATTTGGCTTATAAGCCATGACTTATCAGCCAACGAACAATATTTTTCTCTCACACCAAACCAGCCAACAGTACTTTCAGCCATGGCTTATAAGCCAAACAAGCCCAAACGAACAGGACGAAAGTAACCAAACAAAGCAACACTCATTTCTCTCTGAGGTTAGTATTACTTGCGTTCGCATTATTTATCGAGTCCTCACCTCACACATGGTTCTACATTGAATATGTAAACTGCAGGAATTTGGTTTAACTCCCGATCAGACATATCTACATGTAATTTTTGGTGTATTCCTCTTTGTTGTCATGTAATTTAGGGCACCTAACAATTTTCTTATGCCAAGGATCTTATGTTGATTTCAGCTAAGTTAGTTCTTATTTGCATTTTAAAGATCATCGCATGTAGTAGTCTCTTTTTATATATAAAGAATACTTAAGCTCAAATTTTGAAACCAGTGTTTATCTTATCTGGAATTTATCTTCTGATTGATAAACTAGCATAGTTGATTTGAGGATCCTCCAAATTATAATATGCAATAAGCATAGATTTTTAGAACTGTACAGTACAATGCTTCGTTCAAACATTACCAACCGAGATTTGTTGTCTCTTTATGTATCACAATATGGTATACATATGATATATATATATAGGCAATTTTTTACAATTTGGCTCTTTTTTTAAGAAAATGTACGTTTAGTTCCCTGGGAGACTTAAACTCATCTTTGGACCATGGGGTCGGCGCCAGGACTCATGGCGCCACAGATTTTGGCTCCGAGGTGCCTGGCCGTGCACAACAGAGCATCCTAGGTGGCGTTCGCATTGCCGGTACCTCGGCGCCAGAACACATGGCGCCGAGCATGGATTCAAAACCCACGGCCAAGTTTCCCTTGCCGAGGCTGCTCTCATTTCTTCCTCCTCCCTCTCGGTTTCTTCCTCTCCCTAACCCGCCCAATCTCTTGAATCGACGAATTTGACCTTGGATACTTGGATTTGATCCATACATCTTCGCGAGCAAGGTATCCTCTCTTCCCTTATCAAATTTTATGCATTGATTTGGTATATATTACGTCTATTTTGCAACCCTAGATACGTTAGTACCTAATGTTTGAAGTGATTTTTTATTTTTTGTATTTTGTAACGTTAGGATGCCAAGGCGTGGTAAAGCTAGTAAGCCAAGGTAATCTCTTATCATCGTGTTATATTATGTTTTCATTTATGTGCAACAAATAGAAAAACCCTAGGTTTAGGGTTTAATGTTCATTGCTTTTGGTTCTTAGAACAAATTTGATTCAATTGTAGTTATGGCTGGATGACCGAAAATGCCTTCGACCCATTGCCTCTGCCTAGTGGTGTTCCAGTGCCTATGTGCTTTTGCGGCGATCCTTGTAAGGTAGCCAAGCCCGATGAAGAGGACACGTATAGGCAGAGGTATTGGACGTGTGCCAATTTTGCGTTTGAGCCTACACTTTGTCAGCGCCGCATTAACAAGATGGTGAGAAATTGATGTTGTTTAATATTTATTTTGTGTCAAATGAAGTCTTGCATGATTTATTTGTTTTGTAACAATTGTATTTGTTGTAGACCCCTCCACCGCTCTGTGATTTTGAGCAGTGGATCGACACTGAGATCAAGCCGGAAGACAAGGAGTGGATGCAGATCTGTTACGGTGGAAGGCAGAGGACAAGGAGATGATGGAGAAGAGACGCAGAGAGGAGGCTCTAGAAAAGGAGCACAAGGAAGAGGAGGAAAGGAGGCGTGTTACTTCGCACATGGAGGAGAGGGAGAGGAAGCTTGAGCGTGCACAGCGAGCGAAGGCAGCGATGGAGGAGAATCCCGATGCCCCGAGGAAGGAAAAGTGGCCTCGTTGCACTTAGTAGTCTTCATAACTTGCTAGTTCTATGGTATATTCACGAACAATGTTGTCTAATCTTGGACTTTGCATTGTGTTGTCATGTAATATACTTTTAGTTTGTCATCATGTACTTCAAATGTTGTTATGTTGATTAATGTGCTCTATTATTGAACCTTTCATAGTATTGTTGGTTTTATTATTTGTTGTCATAATATTGAGTTTAATATTGCATAGGTAGTGAAACGAGCTCACGTAGTGCAAATAAAACGTAACGAAGTAGTGGATTACCTAATTCAACACACACAACACATGAAATGGCATGTGATAACATGTACCAAACTAGGGTACAGAGGTCCTGGACTAAACATAACATGCTTTAGGTAATTGAAGCAAACAATAAGCA